AAAAAAAACGTTCACACCCTGATATTTTGTTRAAATGCCATTAGCTTTGATYATGGCACACATTTGCTGTGGCATTGTTTCAACAAGCAATGTCACAAGATTTATTTCCATCCAGTGTTGCATTCATTTCTCACCAAGATCTTGCATTGATGATGACTGACCACTGTGCAAAGCCTTCTCCAGCACATCCCAAAGATTCTCAATGGACTCTATGGAGCCAATCCATGTGTGAAAATGATATCTCATGCTCCCTCATGCACACTAAACCTCTTTCATACTTTGAGCCCGATGAATCCTGGCATTGTCATCTTGAAATATGTCCGTACAATCAGGAAGAAAAAAATCCACTGATGCAATAACCTGGTCATTCAGCGTATTCAGGTAGTCAGCTGACCTCAATCATTGAGCACAAACTGTTACTGAACCTAGACCTGACCAACWGCAGCAACCCCACAWCATAGCACTGCCCCACAGGGTTGTACAGTGGGCATGAAGGTTGCATCACTTCACCTGCCTTTCTTCTTACCCCGATGCACCCATCACTCTGGAACAGGGTACATCTGGACTCATCAGACCACATGACCTTCTTCCATTGCTCTAGAGTCCAATCTTTATGCTCCCTAGCAAAATGAAGCCTTTTTTTTTTCTGGTTATCCAACGATTTGACCTGTCTCAAACAGACTGACATCTTTTCCACGATCACAGGATGTGTTACGACATGTTTTTTTAAGAAATGAGAAGCAACTCACTGCACCCATTGGGGTTAAATAACTTTTTGCCAGCTGAAAGATATTTGCCAAGTCAGTAATTTTCCAATAGGAGGCTCGTACCTATTTGCTTAGTTAAATCCACAAGGCGACTGATTTTTTTTTTTTTTTGGCTAGGCAGTGTATAACTTTATTGATCATTTGGGACAATTCCTTCAGGGAAATTAGAGTTCCAGCAGCATCATGCAGGYAGACATTAAAGAGACGTCTTCTTCTTCTTAATCAGACAATAAACAGAATAATCCTCTTTTTAGTCATTATTTTATCAATGTATAAAAAAGAAAACACAAAAAAATGATATTACAATGTTTTATTGTGCTTTGATATAAATCACTGCTTGAAATTTAACTGTGAAACCATAGTAATTGATTATAGATTTTTCTGTTGAGATACKTAACTAAACTCAGCGTTGTGGTTAAGCTTTATTATGAAACATTTTACTTTTATTTTTGTCTGAATCATCATAATGAATGTCTTTAAATGAAATGAAATGAAATTCATTTAAAGATTTTCAGTAAATCATCCTTTAAGTGTTCTTTAAGCGCTCTCGGCAGAGAATAGATCAGAACAGACTGTACAGACAACAACATTTTTGTTTAAGACAAACAACACCTGGCAGTGTCTCAATAACACTTCCTATCTTTTCGACTAACATCTTTGGTCTAAACCAGGGGTGTCAAACTCCTTTTCACTGAGGGCCACATGAGCGTTATGGTGGCCCTCGAAGGGCCACTTGTAATGAACTTTGACGTTTCATGTTTAACTTTGGCTAAACAGTGTTTAGTCAAAACAGACATGCCCTCTTTTAAAC